CCAACAGATGAGACCTTGGAATTACTGGGGAGGGTAAGTGGATCGTTAGGCTGCCTTGGGTTCACATCAGGTGTGCTCCAACCAAGTTGCTGCATCCCATTAGGGACTGGTTTTAGTAAGCAGGTGGGAATAACACTGGTGAACAGCAGCAGACTTAAGTAGGCAGACTGGAGACCTAACAGACTGGGTCCCCTGAATGCTTCTGTAACACAAATGTTAAAGCATGCTGCAAGCAATAAGAAAGATCTTCAACAGTTAAGTGGCCTTAAATTAAGACTTATCTCCTTGACCCTTTTGCAACCTTAAAACTCTAAAACTGCTGTCCTTGATCCAATGCCAAAGAAACAATGAAATTTGAAGAAGTAGCTAGCAAAACCTACAGTTACAATGAAGTGCAGTACTTTGTTTCTGAACAGTGTAAAACACATTTTGTAGTAACATAGCATAAAAATATTTCTTACTAAAGCCTTTGCAAGCCTCGCTCACAGCCTACAGTTTCAATTGTTTAATGAAGTGTTAGAGCTTACTGCATTTTTCTGCATCACAACTGGAGCTTGTCTAAGAGTCTTCACAGAAACTAGAGAGATAGTGAGGAAAAACTGGGTATCATACGTGACATATTTAAAATATGCATGTGTATTAGGTTTGTGTGGTAGGGGTTTGGCGGTGGGGGAAGGGCTGCAGGGATGGCTCCTGTAAGTAGCCACTAGAAGCTTCCCTGGCTCCACGTCAGATCTGCCTCTGGCCAAGACTGAGCCCATCAGAGACAGTGGCAGCGCCTCTGGGAGAACAGATTTAAGAATGGGGGGAAAAAAAAAAAAATTCAGCTGGAGAGAGGACTGAGAATATATGAGAGAAACAACTCTGCAGACATCAAGGTCAGTGAAGAAGGAGGGGGAGGAGGTGTGCCAGAGGAGGTGATTCCCCTGCAGCCTGTGGAGGTGAGCAGTGGAGCAGATGCCCACCTGCAGCCCGTGGAGGAGCCCACACTGGAGCAGATGGCTGTGCCCAAAGACAGCTGTGACTCTGTGGGAAAGCCTGTGCTGGAGCAGTCTGTGCCTGAAGGACTGCACCCTGTGGAAGGGACCCATGCTGGAGTAGTTCATGAAGAACTGCAGCCTGTGGGAAGGACTCGTGTTGGAGAAGTTTGTGGAGAACTGTCTCCCATGGGAGGGACCCCTTGCTGGAGCAGGGGAAGAGCGTGATGAGTCCTGCCCCTGTGGAGGAAGGAGCGGCAGAGACAACATGTGATGAACTGACTGTAACTCCCATTCCCTAACCCCCTGTGCTGCTGGAAGGGAGGAGGTAGAGAAAACCAGGAGTGAAGTTGAGCCTGGGAAGGAGGGAGGGGTGGGGGGAAGGTGTGTTAAGATTTGGGTTTACTTCTCATTACCCTCCTCTGATTTGATTGGCAACAAATTAAATTGAATTTTTTTCCCCCAAGTCGAGCCTCTTTGGCCTGTGACCCTTCCCCGTCATTGTCTTGACCCATGAGCCTTTCATTATGTTTTCTCCTCCCCATCCCACTGGCAAGGAGTAAGTGAGCAGCTGCGTGGTGCTTTGTTGCTCGCTGGGCCTAAACCACAACAGCATGCATTATCTTCAGAATAGAATCTGTAACTCACCTTTAATATCCATCAACTTCTGAGCACCTTAATGCACCAAGTCATCTGCACTTCTTTAGAGAACAAAATACATCCACAAAGAGAGATCTGTTTTGTTGCTAGGCTCTCAAATGCACATTTTAATCAGCAGTATGTTTTCTGCTCTAAAGCACTAGTCAGGGTAACAGCAACACTGTCTGGAGGACAGTGCTGATTCTAACAGACTACTAAGAATTGCATCATCTTTGTTTAGGTAATGCAATGATGCCTTGTTCTGTCAAGCAGAACACACATTTCCCTGTAGAGGATGATCTCATGCTGTTAGGTATAGGGGAAAAAAAAAATCAGGACAATGCATTAGGAATTTAATTAAAAATTGTTTTTCTGCTCCTTGATATTCTTTTCACTGAAAGCTTAGGTAAGACAAGCTTTCAACTGTAAGGAACTTTAAAAACCAAATAGCTGAGATGAACAACAGCATTTTTCTAATCTAGCAGAATATGTTCTGTAGGTTTTAGGCAGCTTATTTTACAAAATTTTATTTGAAAAAAAAAAAGAGTTTTTAAAAAAACCCTATGAGACAGAGATAGCAGATAGCCATAAGAATAATCAAGTTTCTTTTTAAAGCAATATTTACATGAATTGTGAACCACACAAGACAAATTAATGATATAGTGATAAAAATAACAGCAAAGCTTCTCAGACAGGGAAGAAAGTAAATAACTGAATTGTCTCTAGTTACCTACTGTATCATAAAATATGCAAACCACGGGAGACAAGACAACACATGTTCAGTATATATCAGCTGCTACAAAGCAATGATTGTAGCAGTATTAAAACACATGTCCAAACCAGGAACCAGTATCATAAAACATGTCCTTAAAGATTAGAAAAGGGCAGTTTTCCACCTCACATGACTGCAAGTGAAAATGCCAAGCATGCAAAAAAGGTATTTTATGCACATAAAGATATACATGGCACATTGTGATACTAAGGCAGACATGCAAATTAAGAATTTTCCATTCTACAATGTATAATGATAACTTATAATTATCTAATTACTAACAGAAGGAAAATAAAGAAGCTGGCTATATGAAAAAACTAAAAACATTTGAAATACACCATTACGTTTTCTGTGTGGCATTATCCCACTATTAAATACTGCTACCACTGAAGGAAGCGTGCCAATACCGTTACATCCCTTCACATTACTTCTGGTCTGGATGCAGTTGTTGGAAAGCACTGACACTGACTGGGGCCAGCACTCTGATCTTCCAAAAGCAAACAGGCTTTTAGTTAGCCTGCATTAATCTGCAAAATCAGCAAGACTTGAATTTGTTCTGAGAGTAGATGGGACCCTTCCTTACTCCTTCACCTACACCTATTAACCACATCGCCATTGCAACAAATATTAAGGAGCCCGAGAAGGTTATTAAGGGCGAGGTGTGTTACTTTCAAACGTACCAACTGACGAGAAGCAGATAACTGAAGAAGAGAATTACCAGCTGGAGGGTAAGAGACTAGATTACTAGCACTATCCTTCAACCTAGCAGGGAACAGACGACAACACCTTGGACAGGGCCTCCCACACGCTATAAAAAGTTAGTCGCGGCGTCTGGGAAGGCCTCACGCGTGCTTTCCCAGCACTGGCAGGATGAGAACAACAGAGGCAACCCTCCGTGCCATCGCCGCTGTGACCCTCACCTGGGGATGCTGCCTCTCGGCTATCGCACGCCCACTCTTTGTTAGCAACCGGGTCGCTGCAGAGCCCTCTTCTAGACGAGGATTAACCTGCTGCCTCGCAAGCTTTATTCTGGTAGATCCAAATGCAGATTTTGAGCCCGTGTTTCCAGCTGGTTAACAGTCTATCGCAGGGACACCAGAAAGCAGTCCAAAATTAAAGTTTTGGGGGTTCCCCCCGCCTGTTTTTTTTTTGTTGTTGTTGTTGTTTAGGCGGCTTCTCCACAAAAACAGTCTTAAATGAGCAAGTCGTCTGCCTTAAGCTTCTGGAACACCGACGACTGAGCCCCCGCGCTCTCCCTCCGGGAGGTGGAAGCGGCAAGGCGCTGGGCCGGCACCGCGGCCGGCCGCGCCCGGGAGGCAAGGCGCTGCGGCGGGCCGGCCGCCCCCGACAACCGACCGCCTCGCCGGACCTGCTGTGGCAGGAGCCCGGCGGGCAGCCGGGGGAGCGAGAAGGCGGCACTCCGCGCCGGGGCCGCCCCGGGCGAACCGCGGCTCCCCTCCCGGCCCCGGTGTGGGGAGGCTCCCGCGCCCCTCAGCCGGCTCCCTGCGGAAGAGGCCCCGCCGCGCCGGAGAGCCGCAGCCTGGCGCCAGCCGGCCCTACCCCACCCCCC